TTAGGAGATGAAGAAGTTCAAGGCCTCCAGGATCCTTCCTGTGCTGGATCACACAGTGCTGGATCACACAGTGCTGAATCACACAGTGCTGGATCACACAGTGCTGGATCACACAGTGCTGAATCACACAGTGCTAGATCACATGGTGCTAGATCACACAATGCTAGGTCACACAGTGCTGGATCACACTTAACAATTGTTGACCGCTGTGGTGTGGGATATGACGTTGTGAACACCCGAGGGACATATGTCTTAAAGGGGATGGGCCATGCAGGTTAAATTGATGTTATATGATAGTTTCACCGTCCTATATACAATAAATTTGATTAACCCCTCTTTTATGTCATTAACCCTAACCGTACATTATACTACAAATTACTACTTGTGGTAAAATGTAAGAGGACATGACTTTATTGTTCTGTGAAGCCATAAGATACAATAGATAAGACAATGTACCAAGACAGTGCTGTGGTACTATGAGTGCATAGCTTTATTCTCTGTACAAGTAACAATGGAAGTAACCTACATGTAGCTAGAAGTATTAATCTGTAGCGCTAGGTCCTTCAGGCTCAAGCTACTACTTAGTATTTTGTAGTACTGAGTAGTGTAAGGCAAACAATATTCTTGGCGGTTAGGGTTAAATCAGTAACAATTGGCATTTTCTGTGTGTTTTTTAGTCTCCGCCTGAGCTCTTTGCAAAAACTTATTGAAATTGGTCGATGAGGGCAGCCGACAAATCTTAGCAAAAATGTGATGTCATTGGATGGACTTGACTTTCCAGACAAAAATGCACAGTTCCAGCGAGACAGTTGATTGGTCTGCGCAAGAATAATATTCTCTGCCCTGGCACATAGTCGAGTATGTAACTTGTACGACGTACGTGTCAAGTCAACCTCATTTGATCTTGTTTTCCTATGCCCTTCTCTTAACACTGGGCAGAGCTATTGAACAACTAACTTGCTTTCATTTTGTTTTGTATCGTGTCGTACACATGTAATAATTTCTATAGTGAATTGTGAATTTCAAAAGAACGCCAATAAATTGTGTTGTCTGTGGCTGTTGTCGCATTTAAAACAACTTCCCACAGAGCAGTTTTTGTAGATTCCCAATTGACTTTTCACACCAGTGTTTGTAGGTTAGATTTGTGGATAACACACAATCAGATTTTTACAAGGACTCTATAGTAACAAATGTACATGTACATTACATACAGTATGTCGATGCGTCGTTGCATAACAGTAAACAGTCACCGGATAAAGGACTCATCCCCTTTAAGGAATTTATCATTTCAGAAGATGATGGGCCTACTGTAAAACTATACAGTTAACGTACATAAATGATGTCGTTTGCAAATGCACTGTCCCCTCTCTTTCATTAATTGCATAAACGCTAATATGAAACTAGTTCAGGTACCAGTGAGTACACTTATATAGTCTGGTTAGCGGTTCCTGCATTACCTTATCCACTGCGGGGATAGGAACGAGTCTGTTACACATGTACGAGTGCAATCATTGATCGAATTCCCTGGTAGCCTATGCACAAAGCGTATTATGGGTACCACGCAAAACTTACTAAAGGACCACAAATGTTCGTTCTCAAACTTCCAGTAGTTGTTTTGTTTCGCGCGCATGTGCGTGCACACACTGTCAGTAGAATGAGATGTCTCATGATGAGTGTGACATGCAGCTATACATTCGTGTCTCCCTGTCATGTGATCGTTCTGGGCCAAAAATGGACAGTATTAAAGACAGAGGTATGACAAAGTGCTGGATCACACAGTGCTGGATGACACAATTCAGCCATGATGCTATGATATTTGCACAAGGACAAAAATAATACAATTTTTTCAAAGAATCAAAATGTTGAGATATTGCCAGTATTATTCTTGAAATTGTTACTTTATGTTACGCCACTTTTTCCTTTAAAACAAAGCCAGGCATTTATTTAAAGCTTGTGCACTGTGCAACGTCTGATTTGCTGCCTGGTCTGTCCTACATGTAGTCCTTACTGGCATCACTTCTACAAAACCATGTTCAAAACAGCCATCTAGTGAAGTAAAGTGGGACTTCGGCAACTTTCTACATTTTGAACTCTTGTTTGTTGTTTATAAAATGCATTATGAGGATTCCAAAATCAAAAAAAAATTTTGTGATGTTTATCACCTTGATGGCAATTTCATAGTAGCAAAAAACTTGACTGCCAAAAAATTAGTACAACCAGTGTAAACTTTTCAAGTTACCACATTTGTTCTTTCGAAAAAATATCTCATTAACATGTACCATAAGCAAGAAATGACTTAATACATGTAAATAAAATGTCTGTCAAGGAAACATTTCAAAGAATAACTTTGATGGTCTTTTTTAAAACAAAAAGGTCATGTCTTCTTACAAGTGACAGCATTGAATACTACATTTTACTATTAAGTAGTACTTTGTAGTATTCAGAGCTGTTGGGGTCAAAATAATAATGGATATTTTCTCAGTATTTGGCACAGCCTTTTATTTGGGCGCTACTTCAAACTTGATATGCATATGTCATACTAGTATACATGTAAACTACTCAAAAAAAGTGAAGGACCACTTTTTTCTTAACTTGTAATTTCTTTCAAGAGATGCAAAAGACATTATAAATGCAACAACTGAAACGAACCGCATTTGAAATTGATAAAATAAAAGTACACACACAAAAAAGTGGTCCTTAACTTTTTTTGAGTAGTACATGTATATGAAATTATGAATACTCCTGTGAAAGCATTATATATATTTACATGTATTGTTGATTCTGATACAGGTGCAACGTGTGTATTTTTAAACTGCCATACATCGGTACAAGGCTCTTGTGCAAATACTTGTGCACACCGTTTCAACTCTACTTGGTATTTTTACTTTGTTTAATTGTTTTCATCCTCTTTCAAAGCAATGACTGTGCGCGGACACTTCCGAAAACATTTGCTTTTAGACTGTGTACACGTGAGTCACCATCGCAGTCTTGGACTCTAATAAAATCGCATCCTGGAAAACTTCCAAGACTTCCATTTAGTCAAAGCAATCATGCCCAGAAGATGCATTAAAGCAGTGTGAGGTGCTACATGTATGACTGATTTTGTTATGAATTGTGTGACAGCTCATTCCTACCAGTGGTGTTATTTGTACCTGTTCTTTACATGCATGTACATATCATGTACAGTTGTGCTTAAAAAGTATTCATACCCTTTGGAAAATAACATATTTTTTTAAATTGTTCCCTTGTAAAGTTATTATATTGGTACTTCCACTATATCTTTTGTCTACTTCTTGTAATACACAAAGCACAAACCCACACGTATGTGTGTCGGCCCGGGTTTCGTTTTTTGCTCCAGGTCAAAATGATTCATACCCCTGGTTTACATACCGGTAGTCCAAAGTCTCTTCTTAATAGTCAATATCGTGGCCTTTGTCCTTGATGAATGCCTCAAGACAGTTCCTATAAGTGTCCACAGGCTTTCTGCATGTTTCCTGTGAGATGTTGGCCAACTCTACCTTTACATTAAAGTAGGCAGTGCCTGAGTTCAGGGTTCAAACATAACACTGGTCCTCTAACTTGTTGTGAACCAGTCAAGTCATTGAAGTGGTCTGGCCATCCAGTCAAGGCATACTTCTGAATATTTGTATTTACTCCACAACTTCAATAGAAAACTTTGTCCCATATGTTACTGAATATCTGCTTCCTGTAAAAAATAGAGAATTTTTCCCAGTGTTTACCTTTAAAAATGTAAATGTTTTCCCCCAATGTGACAAGGCTGTGGAACATGTAGCAAGGGGACATGTCATTTTTCATACCATGTGCATTTAGCCTTAATTGGTATTATTGGACTGTGTATGTGTGTGGGTGTATTCATTCGCTCAACAAGAACTGTTAAAGATGGCAAAAACAAATCCAAATGCCAGGCTGCAAGAGAAACCTGGTACATGTACATGAACCAGTACATGTGAATGGGTTTGCTTTGAAACATGAAAATTCATTCATTACATGTTCAGAGCAACATGTACTGTATCCTCCATTGTAAACAGAGAAAAGGTGAAAATCACACCCCCATGCAGGAGGCAATCTTTAAACATATCCACACATGCATTTATCTACACATGCATTGAATATTGAACAATGGAACCACAGACCCAGTGTGCTTTTAACCATATCACTTGAATGTGAAACATAATTTGTAAAACATACATGCATTTATACAGTGTACATACATGTACATGTATGGTATTTCAATTTCCTCTTGTAATGTACCCCATCGGTACATCTATCCGTACATCTACATTATACACACTGTACATGTTCATGTTAATGTGCATATGATGCAGCTTTACATGTACAATGGGTGTTGCTGATGCAGTTAACAAAATGATTAATATTACACAGTACACTGTAAAGGATGTTGGAGTTCCTATCACTTTATTATCAGCAAACTTTAAACACCATTTTTGCAAAAGAAACATGTTTTGCTTTAACCTTAACCCTTACAAATAGGGTTTCTTGGATTTAAAATTTAAATGTTTGTTTTTCTCTCTACATGTATTTTGAGAGAATTTTTTTTATTTTTCTTTTTTCCTTCAATTCAGTTGGGAGGAACTTACATGTTTATGTTTTCCATTATGATCTGTGATTCCCCCAGTACAACTGTAATGCTGAATATTCCAACTGCAGAGAATACATGTATGCAAATGTCATGAATGTTATGCACCAGTTCTTGATATTTCTTTGCTGAAGCTTACATTTCAATTTAAATTGCATATCAGGTCAGATGTCTGCTGAATATCTGGGGTGTGATGCTGTTTCTGCGGATGTCATGGATCGTTGGACAAGCTGGAATAGGTATAAGATCTATTATTTTTCAGAGAACTTTTAGGGAAACAATTCATTTTGGAACATGCATTAAGCCAGCATAATAGGTACAGGTGTACTGTAAGCGTTGTACAAGTGCTTGTTCCTGTGAGTTGGTACAAAATAAATTATTGTATTACTGACAAACTTTGAGGTCAAGTTTATCAATATGAATGCTTGCAAAAGCATACGGGTTCATGTACATGTACACTACATCAGGGGTAGGGGCTTGAAGTTTGTACGTGTTCATGTATTGCCATCCAGTTTTACTTTGTGCTTTTTCTGACAGTGCAGGTAGAAGTAAAAGTGAATATGCAAAGGGTATGCCATTGTTTTTCTTGATAGAGGAGTATCAAGTATGTTTATGCCCCGCAATTACGGTAGTTTGTGCACATGCGTACTGAATCCCATGACAGTGCCAGAAGCCAGTAAAAATGGCTCTTGACTCAGGCAGGTGGACCCCAAAAGTAATTGATGGACATCAATCATGGATATACATGTAGTTGTTTGCCCCTCATTTCCCTCCTGATTAGTATTTAAACACTCAAAAGTCCCTTTTGCTAACTTGCACATGATGAAAATCCATTTTCTGCCAAATTTTTGCCTGTCTGTCTCACATACATGTACCTCCAAAATAATAGAGTCAGAAATTGGAAGTGAAGCCAACATTTAGAGGGGATTTTTTTCAGTTTTGCCAAATTTTCCCTTACATGTCTCTACTTGTGAATAGTGAGGAATATCATGAATGCTCTAATGAGAAAGTATTATGCAAGAAGGAAACCGTATGAATGAGAACGGAAAGGTTTTGTTTGTGCCTTTTAGTCAGGCAAATTGGTGGCGTTGTATGTATCAGTGAAATGAAGTAAACATCACCTCATACCAAAACACACTCGTATCCAGGTGTGTGTGCATGTGCATGTATGCCATGCCCAAATCTGGACATCTTATTTTTGACCATTGTTGGTCATGTCAGACTCAGTGCGGAAATTTGAGTCCGCATGGAAAATGCACCGCATTTCAGACAAATGGCCCTCGATATCTTGAAAAAAATGAGCCGATAGATACAAAAAACTTATCAGTCTTCCAGACAGTATCACCGATGATCTGAGGGGAATTCGACACAAGTGTGAAAATTGGGCACTAAGTAAGGTAAAAAAACATGGAAAATGATGAAAATGGGTCCCAATGAAAAAATGAGTGAAGTTCAAAAAATTATGTGTATTAACTCAGTTGACTAGTCAGATACCAGAACCAGTTTATGAAGTATTGGTGAGTCATTGTTGGTCAGGGCTAACTAGACAGTTGGTAAAACCCCCAAACACTTGTAGTTTGCGATCCTTAACAGTGTGCTGTCATTGGACCACAAGAATCTTTGGTGATTGACTCTTATGGCAGAGATGCCGAGATGTGCATGTAGGTACAGGTATATCACAAAAAAAGCTTGTGTAACACTTGGAATACATGTATGTCAGCAGCAAAGTACGGAGCATTTAGGTCAGTTGTGTTCATGTAATTGATTCCATCACAAGTCTCTTCAAGTCCTTGCAAGTCCATCTTAATTTCATCACAAGTCATTCAGTCTTAAGCAAAGTCACAAGTTATTCAAATGAATCATGACAGAGGCATTCACTCTGTTACTTATTGTCTTGTGGAAGGACTTGTGAGTGGACTTGACTACAGTACTGATTTAAGTGGTCTGAGGGGCATTTTACAGTGATGGAGAACTCTAGTCTGGACTCAGACTCAAGTCAACTTTCTTGGACTCATGACTTGAGTTAGACTTGCTAGTAGCTGACTCATACAACCCATCAGACAAGAATCGTCATTGTTCGTCTTTCCCATGGCCTCTTGACACTTGAGTGTGCTCAGGATAACTTCTTTACATTAACTTTGATCTTTACTGACTGTCTCTTTCGTAATATGTTTCTTAAACTTTCCTGTACAAAATAATGATTGCGTAATTTGTCAATGCTTCTTCCTTTTCCAGGCTTTTCCATTTTGATTGTCATGATGGCTACCGTAGTAACTGTACTGACAACATTGTCAATGTCTGCTATCTGTACAAATGGAGAGGTCAAAGGAGGTACGTTGTCTTGGTGACACAGTCTCTACATGGGCTCAGAAGATTGCTGTGCATGTCATATGGGACACCAATTTTCTGTAGAAATTGACCCATCATTCTGTTGTGGTAGCCTCAGAAGTTCAGTGTATTGAGAAATGAGCATTGAGCTACATGGAGCCTACATGTATGTGCATGTTATACATGTAGAACAAGCACCTTTTATACCAGCCATGCATAGATGTCCAAATGTAGGGGGATGGACTGCAACTGTAGACCAGGACACTTAACTACTTTATGCTGAATGATGTATGTATTGTTTTCTTATACAAAGAGGGCTCATAAATATAATTGCAAAAAAAAAATGAATTTTTTCATAAGCTCTCAGCCAAGCTTTGATTATGTAGAGATGCCAATGTGTACGATTTAGGTGTAATTTTTGTGATTTGTGTAGTCTGTTTACGACTGTACGATCCAGACTAAGATTTTTGCAATTTCCCAACTGAACACCAAGGTACAAAACCATAAAGTTTTGCAAGAAAAAACTATGTAAGCAAGCCCTGAGCAGGCCTTATAATTTACGCTGTGATGAACAGGGGGTGAATAGGCACAGTTAAACTTCATTTGCAACATGATTGTGTACAACAGTGCACTGTACACATACATCGATATCGTTATATGTCATGATTGTGCTAAAATTGACTGGGGTGGAAGACTATCGAGAATTTGAGTCTCGGATATTTGGTGAGCAACTGGACTTGTTTTGCATAATGCCATCAAGTGAGCAGAAGGTCAGAGAAGAATACATGTGCATGTACACCCCAAAATGGGCCTTTATTGCTAAGTCTTGTTGTGGAGAAGCTTACGGGTTTTGCAATGCATGTACCGGTAAACATTGCCCTGCTGGATCTTACATCACCGAGAAGCACATTAATCAAAAAATACATTAGTTAGGTCAAGAAAAAAATATCTCTGCTTCCGATTACATGCCTCTCAAAAATAGGATCAGTACTGTACACGTAGGTCAGGGTTTTTTTTAATCAATGTTTTGTGCCAATTGAAGGGGAAAATTGCTTTCAAAATTGCCGTAAAAGTGATAAAAATGTGCCTTAATTAATGTAGAAATATAACACGGTTGACAATTCTTACCAATATACACGTTAGTCAGGTACAAGTGTTTTGACATGAAAAGAAGTTGAGAGATGTTTGGGTAGAAAGAAGGACAACAGGATTTTTTTCAACTATTTTAATTATTTTAAATTTGGTTTTCTAATTTACCGATAAAAAATTATGGTTGGTCAAGAAACTGGAAACGGAAGTATTTTTGGCCTTAACTATCATGACTTGTACTATAAGTATCAACTCGTAGGGTTTTAACATATTTCTAATAGGTATCTCAGTATCATGCAATAGGATTACACTTTTTCATTTTGGAAAGTTGGCATCTCTGGATTATACAGTGTTTGTGAATATACGTTGGAATAAGGGCAAAACCTGTAATTAAAATTAACATGTACCTGACGCTGAGTACATCTTGAAAAAAGTTTGCGATAGCCGCTGCTACATCGGACTCGGACCCCTGCACAAGTAAACAAGAGGTCATGGGTTGAAGTCCTACCTGAGTAAGCTTGTGAATTTTTTTCATAAGTTCTCGGACAAGTACCGAGTATACAGTGTTTATGAATGTACATCGATGTAAGGGCAAAACCTGTAATTAAGATCTAATTTTGTTTGTTCTGCAGGTGGAGCATACTACATGATCTCCCGTAGTCTAGGCCCTGAGTTTGGTGGATCTATTGGTCTGATTTTCTCCATTGCCAATGCTGTGGCTGTGGCCATGTACGTTGTCGGATTTGCAGAAGTTGTGCGAGACCTTTTAGTGGTAAATTGAATACACCTGTATACCTTAGGGTTTTCTTTGAGATACCATTCTGTGAACGTTGCTTTTCTCTGGAATTTTTTGTTCAAGGTGTCTTGGTCTGACTTCCATTTGATCTAAATAGCAAAGATATCATAATGAAATACTCCATATTGTTGTATAGATTCTTTATCAATAGTTCCTTCACTTTGTCCATCTTTGATGTTTGACCATACCCAAATTGGATACTTTTTGTCTATAACTTTTGCTGTTGGTACTTTTGTGCTTCAGTGAGTTGCACAGTTAAGGACAGTTCATGTGACGTGACAGATCAAATTGGGTTAGTGTACCACTAAGTGTGACACGACTCAATCATTTGAATTAATTTTACTTGTATTTGACATTTTTACAATTTCTTATCAATTAATAGAATTCCTATTTATGAAGGAAGAATTTGTAATCATTTATTAGCCCTAAACCCTCAGGGGTTATGTAAAATCATATTGAAATCGGAGGACTGAGGACTGATAAGGTAAAAAGCTTGAGCATTCCTCATTGAATAGTGAGTAAATGTACACACGCAATAAATGCATTAAGTTGCCACAGAGAGGGCCAATAGAAACATGTTACCTCTGAGGAAGCATTTTTCATTAGGATGGGATGGCTGTTTTGTAGAATAAGTGTACATGCAGTGTGTCATTCATACATGTAAATCTCCGGATGATGTTGTTTATAAAGTTTAGAATTTTTACAATTAATTAGCATAATTTTTTTATTTTCCCCCGGTTTAGGATAATGGCCTGAAGATTATTGATCCAGATAATGATGTCCGGATCATTGGTGAGGCTACCCTTGTCCTCCTGCTGGGCATTACCATGATTGGAATGGCATGGGAAGCAAGAGTGAGTCATACATGTAGATTCTTATGCTCTGTTTTATAGGCTATTGGATTGATTCATAATACAGTAAATGGGTCATTCCATGAAGTTGGATAACTTCAGTGACAGAGGAGCAGAGTGACAGAGGAGCTGAAATTTCAAATTCACTTACATGTTTGTGTCATCCCCTCCCCCCCAGTTTTGACACATTATTGACCGTGTTTCTCAAAGCTAGTAATACTTTTGCAATAACTTAGGCAGACAAGGAAATACTCAGGCATTATACATCATGCAGCGGGTTGTGGATGTAACACGGAAACCACACAGAGATTCAGAGAAGAAAAATGAAGGTTCATTTGTTATGTTCTAAAGATTGGCAAGTATCCCCCTCCCCAAAAAATAGAACAATAAAGAGGGAAATGTACCACAAGAACGAATGTCAGGGTAGGTACATGCACTCATTTTGGAAAATTTTCCAGATCAGGTATGATGCAGTCGGGTTGAAGGTTTTCTCGTATTCGGTCGGCATGGTTGGGTTGGAACGAAGTGCAATCTTTGTGGCCATATACGGCTGCATGGATAGCAGTATTTGTGTTGATATTTCCACATTTATCCCTGATTTTATTCAAAAGACACTGAAAACATCATGTCAGATTTCACAGAAAATTAGCAAAAAATTTGACACCTTTACTTGCAATTTCCCTGCTGGAATGTTGCCAATATCCTGTCCCGCGCGGGAGGCAAATAGGGAAACCACAGCCAGTCTCCTTGCACACAATACATGTATGTTGTGTTCACTTGCACGGTTCCTCACAGTGAGGAATCGCTCTATCATTAATCCATGAGGGATATGTGGAACTAGACGTATTAGCATAAAAATGCACCACTATGCCCTGTGGGCATGTACCATATTAATATTTTCCCTTTTTTATGTTTAGATGATAATACTGTCATGGAAGTACATGTATGTAAACTGGAGTGATTGCTTAATTGTAGATGGTTAACATTTTCGGTTTGAAAAAGTGCTCCAAACCTGTTTATGTACGAGTTTAAGATACAGCTTCTCCAAGGGGATTGTGGTACTACCCCTTTTATTTCATAATGGTAATGGTCATTGCAATAACAAGATCTGGACGTAACTTGGAACTTAAAGATTTTTGTCCGATCAGTTGTAAATAATCAATATTTACCGAGCATGAGCACACTACATGTGCCATAAACTTTAAGGACTCATTCTTTCTACGATCTTGTACTTTGAAATCAATGATACCGGTTGGTCTCTAATGGTTGAATTTACTTCCAATAAACTTAGGGTGGGCGTAACTGTGTCGTGGACGTAAGGTGTGGAAAGTCCTTGTTTGGAAAGCAGGAAAATTTATGCCTGACGACATCTGACATGTGATGTTTTGTTTGACAAATTCTAAGCAAGAGCTGTTGAAGCCTGGAAGAACCTATTTCCAATGAGGGGCATACACTTAAACGTTACTGAATACCAAGGGTTGTGGACGCAGCAGAATGACTTCAGAAACCATGCTCAGCATTCTAACAATACAGTAGTGAAAGCCAAGTTGAGAAAAAGTACATCTGGGTTGTAGTTTTCAAGCCATGATGTTGTAGTTACTAGGAGCAATTATTTCCCAGGTCCAAAAATGAACTCCTGTTTCGAACATAATGCGACTTTTTGTGTGTGGAAACCACATGTTGTGTTCATACTCTCGTACAAAACGGGCTCAGTTACATGTATGAAGGAGGAGTAGTTAACATAAACTACCAGTATATGGTGGACTGTTGTGGGTTGACATAGATGCAACCATATAAACAATATGACAGTATTTACATTTACTTTCAACCCACTGTCTTCGTTTCTTAAATGCCCATTTATCTTGTCACAAAAAACCTGGTTTTACATAATCAGAAACCGCTTATTCATGCTTTATGCTGTAAAAAGTGTTTCCACAAATATGAACCAAATGATCCAACAATATACCTCTCTGTGTGTTCTTTTTATGGTATAAATTTAACTGGCTAATAATTTGATTAGCCGTATGATCTACTCCAAAGTCTTCAGACCACAAGCAAATAACCAGGTATTGCCCAACTTCATGGAATGACCCAAATCTAAGGTGAAAACCCTGCTGTAACACCATCAGCACGCCAGTGGAAGTAACGTGAAAGTCAGATTTTTGTTTTTCTTGGACAAATCAACCTGGAACATTTGTTAGAATACTTTATTTTTTACCTCTCTTAAGTCAGATTGACAAAAAAATATTTACGTACATTTATTTATTCCAGTGAACACAAGGATTTTTGGAATATTTGGTATTTTCCTGTCCATATCAATCATTTTGCTCCACTGGGTCTTTACTGCAGCAATATTTGCAATACCACGTCACATGGGCCGCACGTGTAGACATCGTACTTTTCAGTAGCGGCCTATAACCTTGGCTTGAGCTTCGTTTCTTGCTCTGCTCCCATTGCTGTACTGCATGAATGAACTGGATTTCTGGCTGGAAAAAGTCTATGTGCCCATGTGATCACAGACTGCATTTTGTATTGGATAGTGTCTGGGCTAAGTATAGCTACCGAAGTACATGTACATGTACATTGTGATGGTAATGCTCAAGGTACAAACTCATGTGGCATGATTAGTGAAACATGCTTTGATTTTCAGTTGCATAGTACATGTATGTAATAAATTGTAAAGTTGTCCCCTTGTAGGGCCGGCCAGGGCTCAAAGGCAAAACCATGAAATTGGGAAATAGTCTCTTTTATAACACGCCTCTTGCTGGTTCTTGATTCCCATTGGCTGAAATAGAGCAACTGAAAGCATTCCTTTAAATGTTGAATTGGTTTAGAAATTGCTGAGGGCATCCCTTTTTAACTCGTATTGTTCTCACAAGTTTTTGACCGGGGGGGATTGATCGATCAGAAGAAAAATTGGTAAAAGAAAAACACTTTTTTCTGTTTCATATCTGTTTGGTTTTTTTTGGATACTTAGATATGATTGACAGCATAAAAGAGATTTTTTCCTCTGTCCCAGCCAAAAATAACGGTCGGTCAAAAATGAGAACCACAGGGTCAACAATGGTCACCTTTATGACTGGATAACTAAATTAAAACGGTTCATTTGAAAAACCCTTAAAAGCTTATTTTCTTTTTTACATTTTGGACAGAGGTGTGTCATAAAACACATATGGTCTTGCATAATTCAGTCACTCATTCACTCCTGTGTCACTCCCCCCTCGGGCCTGTAAGTGATCAGAAAATGGTCCTATTTCCCTTTTTGGGTGACTTCAACATGTATGTGCAATGGGCCGTGGCTTGATAGTACACTTTTGAGAAGTTGTGATTGGAACTCGGTTTGAGATAGTCACACCAAAGTAAAATCCAGATTTTCATTTTAGCCTATTTAAGGTATGGCAGACACGATAGGAGGGTTGTATTTGGTTTTGGGTAAAATCTATCGTGTTCACTGCAAATTAACCCACTTCAAATTGCACCTTCCTATTGTGTCCGCTGTGCTTCCAAAGAGTAATGCGGAGTCCTCATCAAAGGAAATTAGCATGAAAAATATTTGTTCGGCAGAGTATCCACATTGCTTCTTTGGGCTTGGTTTTTAGCTTGACAGCTCCTTAAATAGACTTTAAAATTAAAATTGATTGCAAAATTGACAGTTAAATTAATTAGGGACTGTATACTAAGTCCCAGTTTCATGGAACTGCTCAATGCTTTACAGAAATCTTATTCGTGCTCATTGTCATACTCTGCGCATGTTGTCTTTGTGAAATGGATGAAGCCCCCTTGAACAAAATGTGTGAGAAGCTAACATGTACATGAGATGTAGCCCTGAGTGACTGCCGCAGATTTACAATGTACACATTAAGATACATATACAGTATATAATAGTAATTTTGTAATTGAGATGTGCTCATTTTTTTTCTTGTTGAGTGCAGGCCCAGTTGTTTCTTCTACTTCTTCTTGTCATAGCTATCTGCAATATGATGGTTGGGACTTTTATCCCTGCACCGGACCATGAAATAGCTCGAGGATTCCAGAACTACAGAGGTAACGTCAGAAATCATTTACTTTTTAAACAGGGAAAGGGTCCCTAGGACCTTAAACCTGTAGTTTCCCTTCAAAAGCATCATGTTTGTCCTTCCTTAAAAATTCATTTACAGGTGCGCTTTTGGTTGAGAACTTCGGTCCAGACTATCGAGACGGAGAAGGGTTTTTCTCCATATTTTCCATCTTTTTTCCGGCTGCCACTGGTATCTTGGCTGGTGCTAACATCTCTGGTGACCTTAAAGTGAGTTATTGTTCTTTAGTGGAGCCTTTTTGGAGAGAATTTGGTCATGCGTAAATCAATCAGTTGGTATTTCTGACTTGCAATAGATAATATTTTGCTGTCTCACAGGCACAATTTTGTATTTTAATTGGTTTGAATTCAGTCCATGAGTTGGGAGTAAATACAGAATTAATTTTTGTAGTTTGTTTATAAGCATCGAGGAGTTGCCTGGTCACAGAGTCCACAACAAGTGTACATTATTGAGGCAGTCTAATTTGTGACAACTAACCCCTGTAAACCTATCATACTGCTGACACTCTGGTGGAAATGGACATACAACATGTTTGAGTCCTTTCCTTCGGAAACACTTTAACAAATTAGAATGAAACTTAAGCACAATTTACTATGCACGAGTGTCTGACTTGTGTGCACGCCCAGGAAATGGCAAACAAAGCATCTGGCTTATGATGGTGAATGAACAAGTGAAAATTTTGGACTTTTTTTATCACGAATATGTATGAGGTACCTGGTATGGTAACTTGAGATATATCATTTTTTATTGCCATCCTTTCTATAACAGGAAGGCCTATATTCCACAATTTTTACTCATTTCAAGATTTGTGTCATAGCATGGCTATCAGTTCTCCCTTATGTTGTATTCAAATATTTGCCAGGATGCACAAAAGGCCATACCCAAGGGAACCCTAATAGCCATAGCCATGACCTCTGTCAGCTATGCTGGATTGGCCATCGTACTAGGATCCTGTGTGTCCAGAGAGGCTACTGGTAATATTGCAGATGTCATAGCAGGAAACTTTACCACAGCTTGCGAAGATGGATTTGACTGTGAATATGGTCTGCTGAAGAATTTCTCTGTAAGTTTGGATTAATTGAGTAATTAGTGGCACATTTATAGAAATTAAATGTGGGGCTTGATGCCCCTTTTAAGTTAACCAAGCTCACAAGGTAGTGTATGATACTTAGGAATTACTGCAAGGTTTACAGCAGTTAGGGTTGATAATGTACAAAAGAATGTCACACACTCTTTTTCTTGAACTCTGAAGAATTTTGGAAGAGGTTGGAAAGTTTTCGCTAAAATGTCTCAGGAGGAATAAAGATTTTGTTCCGCAATTCCAAGAGTATTTCTGTTGGTTTATTATTTGCTTCACAGGTAGCAAGTTTGATATCAGGTTGGGCTCCATTAGTTCTGGCTGGTGTTTTTGCAGCAACCTTGTCTTCAGCTCTGGCTAGTCTCGTCAGTGCACCCAAGGTGTTTCAGGTAAAGCTCGTCAAACATCTTGAGTCATGGAAGCTTCATGAAAAAAATTGGAAGGGGGGAAAATCAGTGACCAAATTCATAAAGTATGTTGACATGAACAATTAAAAATGGGCGTCTTGTTGGAAAAAAAATTGCTAGATTCAGATTAAACCTTCCACATTATTAGTAAGTTTATTTTTCACTCATTGGTTTATATTTTGGGTAGTCTTGGCAGTAAGTTTCCTTGTGTTCGCTTTCACAAAAACCAACTTGAAGATTCAAAAGTTATGTCGCTGCACTACATTGTAATCAGAAACCTATGAAGAAAAAGGAAGAAAATGTCAGTTTAGTTACAGGTATATGTATTTTTACTATGCTCAGGGTAGCTGGGTATGGGAGAATGCCAGCAACAATGTGATAATGCAATTCTGCGATTCAGTCATTACAACCAGATACACAACACTGGAAATGCTAAGAAGTTCGAGATTACAACAAAAACAAAGGAAAAATAAAGACAGTTATGAAAGGTCCATGAGTCTTGTACCCGAAAACCTGTGGGTTTGTGTACATGTATGTGTTCTGGTAATGCGGTCAGCTCAATTTGCCTTTTGCATCCGACAGAATAAACCTTTTGTGTTAAATTTGAAATAAATCTGGTACACTAAATTCTTTAAATTCACGCGAACATAATTGGAATTCTCCATACTAAAGCCACTGTTGCTATACCTCATGATTCGAAAAAAGCTTTTCCTTGGTTACATAAGAGACGCCTTGCAACAATACACTGTTCTCAACGGAAAAGAAGGGCACAAAGGAACCAGTCCATTCCAGAGATGGTGGTCACTAAAAAAGCAAAAGCTTGCCCCGAATCACGAGGTATAGCAACAGTGTCTTTAGTCTGGGGAATTCAAGTTATGTTTATGTGCAATCAGATAACTCAATGTACTAGATTTTATTCAAATTTAACTCGCAAATGGCTTATTCAAACTAAGGTCCTCATTGTATTAGGGAAGGACAGTTTGACCACTCTAACATTGGGTTCATACAACAGGCGAAAATGAAAGCAAAGCAGATTTGATCTGACAAAAGATTTGCAGCAACATTCACTTGAGTTTGAATGTGTTCAACTTTTGAGAATTTGCAGCACCAAATACTTGATCTGAAGTCGCAGCCTCATTAAATGATGATTTTGTGATACATCTCTTTATTCTTTACCCATTATTCTTCCAAAGGCTTTGTGTAAAGACAAAATTTTCCCCAAGATCGGGTCTTTTGCTGTTGGCACTGGACCAGGAGATGAACCACGGAGAGCCTACATCTTGGCCTTTTTCATTGCAGCTGCGTGTATAGCAATTGGCAAGTCACAAATATATCCAATTATGAATAACATGAAACATATTGGATTCCCAACTACAAAAGGGTTAGTTTGAAAGTGCAAACATAAGTGAACTTAGGTTTTAACAGGGTAATTGGAGCAGTTATTATAATAAGCAGGATTTTTAGATTTTCTTATGGTGATGTTGTCACTTAAAACCTAAGCACCAAGGCTGTTTTGGTCAAATATGTGTACTTATAAAGATGATTAGGAGTGGGTATTCATACGCAGGCAAGAAATGTCTAAATGTTTGTGTCAGTAATGAGACCCAAACTCACAACTTTAGTAATATTCCCTATACTCATCTTCCAACCCTTAAAAGCTTAGCACCCAAGTTACTGTACATCTGTATGTATAGTGTAAGACTCTTGACAGTAGAAACTGAAGTCTGGGCAGCAAACCCGACACTCCACTTGCGGTTCTCATTTCACACATCACTATTTTCATTTTTTTTGTGGTGTTTGTTCTCTCGCAGGTGAACTGAATGCAATTGCTCCCATCATTTCTAATTTCTTCCTGATGTCATATGCACTCATCAATTTCTCATGTTTCTCGGCATCATTGGCAAAGTCACCAGGTGAGATGTTTCTCCAGCAAACTGAGGAAGCTGTCAATGTCATCAAATGAAGAGCTTCATTCATTTTTACAGCATTAAAACTAACTCTTTTTGTTTTTAATACAGAAATGTGGATTTCGTTGCACTTCATTTTTAATTATCATATACTGATATTTTCCCAGAAGCTCTAGCCGTTGTACATGTGGTAGGCAATGCAAACTTGAGTGGATATAGGACTTTGTTGTGTTAACAGTGTGAATGAAAGGGGCACGAATTAAATGGCATTTGTGTAATCACAGACTTCTCTCACAGATTTTGAGGCACCGATCATTTTTGTTATTTTTTCACTGAGCAAATAAATCTCACTGGAGAAAACAAATTAGTTAAACTGGAAAAAAATACTATTTCATCAGTTTTCTGTTATCAATATTTGAATTTGTCATTTGACATCTATATTACAAGTGTCAAATTTCAAAAATATGATTAGATTTTGAGTTTTCACCCTTTTTGCTTATTAGCAGCAGAAGCTTGATTTGAAAATAGCCAATATAAGCCTCATTTTGCAGCCAAATAGGCCAAATTTTAACACATACCAAAGAAAATCTGTCTTAAACAGCTCTACAATGAAATCAATTCAGCTGTTGTAACAATGGTTCAAACATCAGAATAGATGAATGTGTTCAACTCAGCCTCAGGATGGATATGTTGTGTGTGGCTGATCTTTGCCCTTGACGTCTTTAGTTCAATCTAATTATACATCACAAAACCTGTTGATTGTTTTGGTAAACTACCATAGGTTGGCGTCCAGCATTCCGTTACTACAACATGTGGGTGGCCCTGCTTGCTGCTGTACTGTGCATGGGTGTCATGTTCCTGATAAACTGGTATGCAGCACTCATCACCATCTTCATTGTGACAGCACTGTACATGTATGTACACAACACAAAGCCAGGTAGGTCATTGGGAACTAGCTAACAACTGAAATTATGGCAGCGTCTGCTAAAGGCTACTGTCTGGACTTCACCAATTTTCTAATAGTTACTGTCCTATGGAAGGACAAGAGTGAGGAATATTCTTACCTCAGGTTATCAGTGGAGAATGTATTGAAGTTGTGGTCATGGTGGTCAGGCTCTCCATTTGATACTTGCCTCTAAGGAGACTGAACTCCCTTTTGATACTTACTGCTAACAAGCACTGAAGCTTACAGTGATTATATACAGTATGTACCTGTAGGTCAGTACCAAAACAAGGATTGTTTACGTTTTCCTTATCAAGGCAAAGCCAGTACAAATATTAAAAGTTTGATAAAGAATGAGATGGCACTAAAGCAGAACAACTTTGCAATTGAAAGAAAAGTAATTCTACGGAAGTTTTGAATATAAAATAACTGGATGACCCAGAATGTCTGTGTGTGTAGATGTGTGCTAGACATGCACCAGGAAAGTGCATGCATGGAAAGTGGCACTGAGTTTTATAAGAAAGTTTATGGTCCCAAATAGCATGAAGCCCCTAGAGATCAATGAAATCCACTGTACGGACATTGTTTTGATGCAAGAAGAAATGAATGGTTTGATTTTACCCCGGACACAACTTTACCTTCCTGCTTTGTTTAGCTTTTTTATGTCTTTCTTGTGTGAAACATATAGAATAAAGGACGGTGGAATTTCTCTAGTTTTTAAGGTTTAATTCACATTTGAAGTAGAATAAAGTATAGATGCGTGAAACCAGACAAAGGTGAAATTACAATGGAAATTTCAGACTCTCCCAGTTTTGTAAAAAAATACGTTTTAAGGAGGAAAGTTTGGCCGAGGACTTCTTTTATCAATCAGTGATGATCTGAAGTCATCATTTTACTTTGTAGTCTTACCTTTGTGCATTTAACTGTCCAGTACCCATGTTCTTCGGCTTTGTTTCCTCCTAACCGGTTCAATATTTGACTGGATTTGGTACTTGAAAAGTACTCAACTACAGCACTGCTTGTGATAAGCTGATTACAAACGTGCTTGAAATAAGGACCCAACCTTTGGATTGATGCAGAGTGCCCATTATAGTCTGATATTTCCAAAAAAATTTCAGTTTGCCACGGCATCAATTTGGAAAACTTTCTTTCTTTTTAATCCCGTTTGTAACAGAGATCAATTGGGGCTCTTCCAACCAGGCTTTTATCTACAAGCAAGCACTGACCAACACGCTCAAGCTGAACCACATACCTGCACATGTTAAAACATTCAGGTAATTAAAGATGGAGTTGTTGTCCGGATATGATGTTCAAGCAGAAGATGAAATTAAACACAGCCAATGCTTTTAGTATTGCACTCTTAACCACTACCTGCTGGGCGACCCGTTTTCGAGTACATAGGCTTTATATGCAGAGCTGGGGAGCGCAAAACTGGGACAAAAGAGTTGGGCCTTATAACAAAAGACTGTGCTCAGCACAAAAGACTGAGCTGCTGGGCATTACCAACATTTTTCGCTCTCAATAGTGGAGACAATCCAGCCTTGTTTTGAAACAGTACACCACGGTTTGAGGCATTTATAGTGAGCGGATTACCACCGGGGACAAAAGCTCTCCACAACCGCAGTGATGAACCACACAGCACCACTGGAAAGAGGTCAGTAGTGCACTGTGCCGGTTTCTGGAACAAAAGAATCTTACTTAACACCATACAATCTGGGCTCTTTTTCAAAGGCTTGCAGGCCTGGCTGAAATATTCAGGAGTCAATGAATTTTACCTGTCAGCTTTAGAGTAGTCCCAAAGAGTCCTTCATTTCGGTATAAATGGCCATTAAATGAAATGATGAATTTTTAAAGAATTTTGAAAACGGAAAATCTTGAAAATGACCCGGCACCTTCCATGCACATGTACAGGTATCTATCCATTCTGTGCATAACCTTCCAGGGATACCTTAGCCTCCCAGCAATAATCAACCAAGACCAGGCTCAGTCAGCAGCCATTAGTCAACCACCGGTTGCAGGGCTGAATCCCTTTTCAGTTTTTGATCTGAAAATTGTTGTTTTCCTGTCTAGGCCCCAGATCATTGCACTGACTGGTCTCCCTGAATGCCGGCCTGCCCTGGCACACTTTGTGTCACACATCACTAAAAGCACAAGCCTCCTCATATGCGGAGCGGTTCTGACTGTAAGTAATTTGCCCCCGTGGCAGGTTGTCTGTGACCGTTAAGAGCTTGTCTTCGTGTACATGGGATAACACATGTGTCTGTACCTCGCACAAGCCTCTTACAGTGTGTAGTAGGAAGGCAGTAAATGATCAGTATTGAAGCTAGTTCAAATTAGTTATGTCACCAAGCATTAACCTCAAAAGACCCTACTTTGGACGAATTGTCCCTTTCAATCGCAGTTTCAGTTAGCTGTTGCTCTGTGTTGCTCTGTGTTGATCTTTGTAACATTGCAACCTTAGCAGGCAAGTGAATGACAAGGGTTAATCGAATCTTTCTCTTTCCGTCTTTTTTCTATATGCTACTTTTCTCCCAAATCCAGCTAGCCAGCATGGTGTTGCGTCGTTTTAGCTGGCAGAATGCAGCTCCTTTTTTTACCCCAGCTGAAGAAGAAAAGAATTTTCCCCTGCAATTTTCAGGGAAAACATGTCTGAAGTAGTGATTTGCTGTGTGCTCCCTAGGGAGCTTACAAAAGTCCAAGGAATGTTTTTGTATACTCAGTGAGCATTGATAATGTGAAGTGCCTTTGACCTTTGTTGACCTTTATGTTCTATCCATTGTTGTCCTTACTAGGGTGAGCAGAGTACTAATCTGAACGAGCTGACGACAGACTATCATGAGAAGTGGCTAGATTCTCAGAAGATCAAGGCATTCCCTGCCATGGTAGCCAGCCCTACACTAAGAGCTGGTGCCCAAGCTCTCATGCAAGTAGGTTGTGAAGTAAACAGGACTAGAGATTGACTGTGCTTAGATGAGTCGAGTTCCTGGCAATAAGTCAATTATATCCTGATGAGCTGAATTCTCTTTGCATTCAAAGTGTGTATACTCCATGACTTTGTATGCACAAACAGTGGCATGCACATGTTGTGTTGCCATCATTGCTAATATAAAGCATGTTTTCTTGTCCATAAGCAAGTTCAATTGTAGAATTACTGTTTGGCATGTAATTTGTTTATATTTAAGAGGCACAGACTTTTAACATAACTTTGTTGCGTACTCAGCGAAAGCCATTGGATGGCACATTGCATGCACTCTGTAGTTGAGCACAACTCAGCTTGGGCATACAGCAACAAAGGAGCCTAAGTGTCCTTCAGTATTGGTCACACTGTTATTTTCACTGTTAAGGAGAGTGTCAGGTTTTGTGCATGGAGACCATACAGTTATGTTAAGCCTACCGGCATTTGTACATGGTTGAAGCAGTCACTGACAATACAAAGGATGCCAACATGCAGATAATATCTGACAAAATTATGCGTGATATCATTCAATTAAAAATTGGACAAGGGTGTGATTTGTCCGGATTTTTCCGGATTTCTGGAATGTCTGTGAGACTTTCCGGATTGTCAATGCTTTCAATATGTAACAAAAAGACTACAATATTTGGTACGAAACTAAGTGAAAGACTTGTACAACTTTAGGTGTATAGTATGCACTTGTGCGTTGTTATTCCCCCTGGAAATGCGCCAGATATGTAGGTAATAGTACTACACCTAGTACATTGAACAGAGGGGGTATCATTGTTAAACATAGGGACCCTGGCCAGCGTTATGATCGTTGTGTGTATGTACATGTACTGTACGTTCGCTGTGTGTGTATGCACGGTACCCGTGTTGTCGTTGCATGCACTGTGTACAACTTGCGTCTGTCTGCCATTGTGTTTCGTTTCGTTCTTGTGGTGGTCTGATGTCATCGATGTCCATCAAAAATGTCCCACAAGGTAGTAGGTAGGGAAGGGGATCTGAATGTAGACAAAGGATTCAAGAATTCTTGGAAATTTTCCTGGCTGGAAATTGAGGTGGACAGAGAATTAACCAAGGGGAAATCGATATATTATCGTGACTTTCTCATGAACATCGACAAACCTGGGTACTGCAAGTGCACGTGGTGTCACGAGAAATGCAGTACTCATCTGTATGAGACAGTTTTCAGTTGTAATAAATTGTGATAGAATTTTGTGGATCACTGATAACTGCATGTTTGTGTGTGTATTACACTTCTAGGTCTTTGATTGTCACCAGTTATAGCTTACATGTATAATTGCAATTGAAGTGAATGAGGACAAGGGTTTTGTTGCAGTAAATGTTATAATTGTATCCCTCAAAGTAAGAATAGCTCTTGTGGTGGCTTACATGTAGTACCTGAATCCCTTCCTATAATCGGATTGATATGCTGCGAATCGTACGGAAGCTGTGGCTGACGCAACATGCAAAACCCTCCGACGAATGTTTCGTGGATTTTTCATTTTCCCCAAATCACACCCCTGATTGGAGCAAAGCAGCATAAGGTTGCATAAAATGCCTTCCTAAGATGGTTATACTATTTCTTGAAGCTTTGTATTTCATTTGTAGTCAGCTACTTTGTTGACAAGGGGGTTTATTTCTTAGCCATTAAGAGAAAATGGTGACTTTATGCATTAGCCATCAGTTTATATTCATTCAAACTTAGGTTCATCCTGTTGCTTTACTTTTTCTAGATCGGTGGTCTGGGTAAGATCAGGCCCAACACGATCATCATGGGCTTCCTTGGTAGATGGAAGACAGAAAAGTCCCAATATGTCAATGACTATGTTGGAATCATTCAGTAAGTATCATCTCAAATGACGTATTGTGTTACCCAAAGGGGTTGATTGTTGATCCAATAATTATAAACCCAAATCATGCTAAATCCAGCAAAATTCCATATGGTTAACACAATGATTGAAAGGACTACACTCAGTGTAGAGTAATACATAGGGGCCTATTGTTTTGGTGTTCAAACTCAATATCTTGTTGGTCTTTTTGGAGATTATGGATTCAGCCTGGGGTATTTTGGCCCATACCAGTATATCCTATGGCAAGATACTTTGTCACTAATTGATCTCTCTGCCCAGGAGTGAGTTCCGACGAGAGTGGAGGTTGATTTACATATTTTATTTGAATTACGTGTAGTTGTGGGGGAAATGATAGCATTAGGCTGGGCTGTCTAAGGAATGATTTATCAGTCAGGTTAGCAGGAGTAGTAATCATTAAGTACAGTTCAGCACATCATGATGGTGGATGGGAGCCCTTCAGCAACTCTGCATCCTTATTATGTGAATGTGCTTAGTGTGATGGTTCAAATGAATTGCAATATTTGGTTATTATTTGTCTACAGTGATGCATTTGACCTGAATCTGGGCGTAGGTATACTACGCATTAAGGAATCATTTGATGTGTCTAGTGCCTTGAATACCCCTGGATTCTCTGATTATGTTGAAGGAGGTGAGTTCAGATTTGTTTCAAGTTCAAGTGTTTTACATCTAAAAAAGGGTTAAAGTTTGTGTACTGTACTCAACATTGTCACCACATTGCATTGTAAAAAGGAGGAATTTTAGTTGAGAAACTAATTTAGGAGCAGAATGTGTTTGTCCTATTTGTTTAAATTTATTTAGGTACATGAATATCAATAACATTCGTGCAAAGCATGCTCTGGTGCCAAAAATGTCCATTGCGAATGAACTAAATTAGCAGTTTCCTTGGAAATTTTGCAACTGTTTCACTGCAATAAATTGTGGACACCATCATGTATTGTGATGGAATAATTTACCTGAACTTTGCTATGAGCTACATGTACCATCATGTACCTTCACCTCAACCACCTGAAGCTGACAATGTCTACCTGGTATTATAGAACACAAGTGACCTGTTTCATTTGGCAAATGTTGATTTATTTTCACAAGATTTACAATGGTCAGATCACCTTGACAAGAATGTTAAAACTGTAATACTGGTTTATCTCATATAACTGTCATAATATTCTATTACACTTATAATGATGCTGGAGGGGGGCTTGTTTTATTCTCTCCATCAAATTCTGAACAGAATTAATAGGGCAATAAGCTTCAAAAATCAATTTTAAGTTTTAATAAGTAAGACCATTTAAATACTAAAAAAAAGGAAACAAATTTTCCTCACTTAGTTAGTGCTGTGTATCATTATTGTCTGAGAAAACTGTGATCACTAAAGAGATACCAGGAAGTTGGGGCAAACATTCTAAGGTAGTAAATTGTATTTTATGGCTACTTTATTCTCTGACAAAGTTCTCCACCAGCCGGAGCACACAAATTCCAGATTTAGGATCGGTAAGCCTGACATGTACTAGTCATGGTTCAAGGAATTAATGAGTGGTACTAGACTGTCATTATGTGGCCTGTTTTTATTTACACTGTACATGTACACCCTTGCATTACAGTATTTGAATGTCTTACTGGTAGGCATGTGGCTGTTTGTTTGCAAATGTTTTGATTTAATTGTTCATCACTTGAACTTAGAGGTTGTTTCATGCAGACTTGTAGTCCTTGGATCTGGATTCATTTGACACAATCCAGATTTTACAGCTGGAGATTGGTCTTGCCTGGCATAATGTATGAATTGATTCCCTAGATGCCTGTCATAATGTGTGAAGTGATTCCCTAGATGCCTGTCATAATGTGTGAATTGATTCCCTAGATGCCTGTCATAATGTGTGAAGTGATTCCCTAGATGCCTATCATAATGTGTGAATTGATTCCCTAGATGCCTGTCATAATGGGTCAAAAATATATCGTGCAAGGGCATACTCCTACAAAACATGTAGCAAGTGACATCAGTACATCGTCACCCACTGTCAGTCATAAGTATCTTGAACTAAGACCACACGTGCCATGTTTTTTTATGTGAAAAAAGTTTCACTGACCACTTCACCATCTCGTGATGCAATTTTGTTTGTAGAAAAGTTTCTAAAAGTTCTAGACGGCCCTCATAAATGTGGACAGCGGTTCTCTCCTATCATGTGTACATGATAAGAGTATTGAGGACAGTTAAGTGCAGGGGTCAAATGCAGCAGAGATCTTGAGGAGGTTCCTTCAAATAGGCTGCATCACCCCTTGTGAAGTGCTTCTGTCTGTGATGTCAAACTGCATTATCTAGTCGACCCACAATTGTGTTCACCTGCCTGTCATTTGTGTAGGAATAGATATTTTGTAATTAAGAAAACAACTGCCATCAGTGTGCATGCATGAATCCAACTTGAGTGTTCTCATTTCATATGAAGTTCTGCATGTAAGAATTCAGTTGAAGGTTTGAGCATTTTACCCAGCTGGTCTAAATCTGGTGTACCTGTGTCATGGTCACACATGGAGGAAGATGTGTTGAATGGTTCTATTGACAAATGGGGGCTGTAACTTGGCAAAATGCTCATATGCTTCAGGTATAACAACACACTGAATAATGTTGTCATTTGATGCATGGATTGGCCTAAAAGAAATGAAAGGCTTGCACATGTGTATACATACGGACCATCAGCATCATACCCAGGTTATGACTCCTGAGGACAGAACTTGAAAGATGTTCATAAAAAAGGGAAGAGAGTAACAAAGTCACTACCTTTGTGAAGTGGTATTCCCCTCACTCTCTAAAAAAAGAGAAGGGAGGTGGGGCTGGGCTGAATAGAGAAATCCTTGGGGGAGGGGTTAACCACCACATTTTCTCAGTTTCCAGTTGTCTGACAATCCACAAGTTTGGATAAGTTACTGAGCTGCCTTAATGGCCCGCATCCCACTGTGTTTTAAATTACACTCTGCACCTTCATGTCTTAACTTAAGTTTCCCAGTTTTCACAGTGCATCATTCCTCACAGTTTATAGGATTAACAGTCATTACCTTTAATTTCATTGATTCCAGGGGCTTGCATTTGTTACTGATTAGCTCTACAGAGATGGCTTTGTCACCATGTACATGTAGTTCATGTAGTGTTGGTTTATTGTGGATGTATATTGTAAGCACTGTGACTGCAAATAGTGTATTGTAGTTGCAGACTGCAAATAGTGTTGGTGTTATGTAGCACTTTGTACATGTGGCTGTGAAGGGGATAGTATTTCGGTTGAATTGGAAAGTTGTGTGATTTAAATTGCAGAAAGTCTGCTGGATATTTCTGTGACTGCTGTACATGTAATTATGATACCATGATGTTCATTTGGAATGTATTACGCAGTGCAGCAGTAGTCTAGTGAACATAAACCTGTTGTAGAAGTTTTAAGTGTGTAGCGACCCTCCCAGTTTTCTGGGTTGTGGAGGATTCCACAAGGTTGAATAGCTAGAACATAGCCACAGCGAGCGGGGTTTAATTCCTGTACAAGCTGTTAAGTGCAAAGTTTGATCCATTGGGTTTCCTGCATTGTGCAGGATTTTGCAGGAATGATGAAGGTACCTAGCAGAAGTGCATCTTGGATGAGGGTCAATCCCATACCCCTGGGTTGTGTTCACATGGTTACTCCTGTTAACATGATCAGGATGCATGTGCATCACACTCGGATGCAGGAATATACTCCCCCTCTAGCAAGAGTATACTCTCGCTGACCCGCGGGTCATATTCCAGCTATTCGAGTGCTCAGGAATATATCTCGCTTGAACACAACCTAGAGCGCATTCAAAATCACGTTGCTATTGGAAGATTGACAATTGTGAAGGCTGATGTTCATATATACTCTTTTGGGGCCTGCACACGTAGGAACACCTTGCTATCAGCTTTTGCTGACATTCTGATTTATTCACGGAAAATTCTTCAAAGTTAACCAAATGTAATGTAGCTGACTATTTAACCTATTTCAGGGCTTTAACTCGTCACTTTGAAAAGTTGACTTTTGACCACTTTTATTCAGTTCAACCCCTGTCTTTCTATCAGCAGAAAAAGTTCCTGAAATCAAAGTGGAAAGCATGGTGTCATCCATCAAGGAGGAAGAGAAGGAGGGGGAAGAAGTAGCAGAGCCATCAGCCACTGAACCACCCAATTCCCCTGTGGGAACAAAGATCTCCATGTTTGACAGTACAGCACTCATCAAGGGCAAGCCCATCGATGATGTCATCAAATCTATGCAAAAGTTTCAGGAAAAGATGCCAAAAGGGAACATAGATGTGTGGTGGCTCCTGGATGATGGAGGTACAGTGATTCCAGAAGGATTCATGCACAAGCATAAGCTCTTTTTTATTCCACAGACACACATAGCTACAAATCTTTTAGTGTAGTAGGTTTATGTTGACCTGAATTGTGAGACAGCATTCAAAATACTGCAGACCCTCTTCATGTGAAGGTCGCATCTTACCTATGACAGGTTAAGCCTTAGGTCCAGTCCTGTGCTGCAGCACGTTTAAGAATTGTGGAAATCAATGTTTATCGTGGAAGATAGTTTCTTTGGTCAGCACCATGATGCAACAAATTTCTATTTAAGAGAAAGGAAATTTTTATGAGACTGACATTGATGTTGTTGTTGCTGTCTTTCCAGGGCTGACCCTACTGATTCCTCACCTCTTGTCCATGAAATCTAACTGGGAGAAGTGCAAGCTGCGCGTCTTCGCCACCACAGGCAAGAAGGAGCAGATTGACCGGGAGAGGATGAACATGGCTAACATGCTAAGCAAGTTCCGCATCAAATGCACTGACGTGGAGATCATCTCAGACTTGAACAAGAAACCCAAGGAAGAAAGCCTGAGGCGGTTTGAGGAGCTGATCAATCCCTGGATACTGAAAGAGGGAGCGGGGGAGACAGCCGAAAAGTTTCCCTGGAAGATCACCAAGGACGAAGTCACTACACTCAAAGAAAAGGTAGTGTCTTTTAAGGAACTCATGCATTTGCTTTCACTCGTATCCACCCAGGGGCTCTGGTTGTTACAAATTACACAAAAACTTTGGAAGGCAATACAAGATTGTTGGTAATTGTTTCACTCGGGTTGTTACCCAGGGTCCCTGGTTTAACCAAAGGTATCAAATGAAAAGTGATAACAACTATTGCTTGTCAACACCATTGGAAAGTCTAGTGGGTAGAAAATAAAAGTCCATGACTTCAATGTTTCTTAATGCAAAAATACTGCTATAACAGAAGCCAATTGAAGCACCACTTCTTCTGTTCATGGGAGATGCTTTGGTTCGTATGCATTCAGTTGTAAAGCCAGACCTGTTGCCTTTGGGCAACAGTTTTACTCAAATTCAGTGTTATGCGGTGGCTGTAGGGACCAAGCTACATGTGCATATGTCATTCCTCAAGAAGTGTTAATTTCCTACCAAGCTCCTCTTGTTAACTTTACTTTCGTGTTTCTCTTTTTAGGTTTACATACCTAATTTGATATGGGGAGGGGGAATTGGGAGAATTGATAACTTTCCATTGGTGTTTACTTGATATCTTTTGTATTACAATACATGTAAATGCATGTAATGCACCACTCTCAGAGTTCCATTTTGTTCACCTGTTGGAATTTTCTGTGCATGATTTGTTTCTGTTCAGACCACAAGACAAATACGGATACGTGAACTGCTTCGCGAACATTCCAGAGAAGCCCAGCTTATTGTCATGTGAGTACACATAGCCATGCTTAAGTCTGAGGCTCTCGGTTTCAATTTCCTTGCTCTGTTTGAGGTCTCTTTGCATTCTGTGCTTCTTGTCCCTGTTTGTGTAAGCACAATTACGCACTTAACCTGTAATCACACAGTGCTAGTTTTAACCTGTTTGTACCCACATACAGGATCTAGCAAACTGTATATAATGACAAGTTAGCAACATGCAGGATCTAGCAAACTGTATATAATGACGAGTTAGCAACATGCAGGATCTAGCAAACTGTATATAATGACGAGTTAGCAACATGCAGGATCTAGCAAATTGTATATAATGACGAGTTAGCAACATGCAGGATCTAGCAAACTGTATATAATGACGAGTTAGCAACATGCAGGATCTAGCAAACTGTATATAATGACGAGTTAGCAACATGCAGGATCTAGCAAACTGTATATAATGACGAGTTAGAAACATGCAGGATCTAGCAAACTGTATATAATGACGAGTTAGCCATGAGGTGCACCTTAACTAAAAATCTGGTGATGCTTTAGAAAGAAGTGTATCCCTAAACACACAACATTCCAGAAGTCTCTGGAGGCAGACCAAGTGTTGTTCTAATGACTGTAACGAGTCAGATTTTGTGGCCTCTGGCTGGTTTACCTTCCCTTTCTCACAAGTCAAACTTTGTGGCCATAAAATTCTATCTTCAACTGATCAATGCATGTACATTTATGTATGCACACCCAGCCTGCCAACCCAGGAAATATGTTAGCCTTTAGCAGATATTTTTTAAAATCACTGGGAGGCTTGGGAGCATTTTACAGTACAGAAGAAGGTAGAGCCAGTCATCATGATTTTGCTTTGGGCTTGATTTACATGTACTTTATATGTTCAAGTACAGAGTTAATGTACTGGTACTGTTTGGTTCCTGCACATAAGCAAAGTTTGCTATACCATCTTGCAGAATAGTGAATGGTAACTTTTGTTATCTTGATAAGTCAACATTTGCGACATATTAGCATGTGACTGGCCTCATTGCTCACTGTAACTGTCATTGATTCCTACAGGAGCCTTCCTATTCCACGGAAGCTGACCTGCTCAGCCTACATGTACATGTGCTGGCTGGAGACATTGACCAAGGATATGCCACCCATACTACTGCTCAGGGGCAACCAGACAAGTGTTCTTACTCATTATTCTTAAGGCAATTAGTGCAAAGATTATGCCAGTAATCAGTGTATAAGTGTGATAGTAAGAACAGTTTTATGAGGTGACTAACTAACTGTTCTATTTCACTTGGCTTCACCGCATGAAACAGAACATCCAGTCCTTCGTTATTTGTTTTACACAAGGCCTGAAGAAATCCTCTTTGTGTACAAAATGTCACTTCACTTTTTCAGCTTGGCATTGAAGCATGACACCAGGTTTCACGTTCTGCACTGCGACTAAATTTTGTCAATGATCAACGACCCATCAATCAGTTGACAAGGATTTATTCAGGTGTTGTTAAAATCACATTAGTTAAGAGATTATTTTCCATTTTTCATCTTGAGAATGATGCATTTTTCATGAACAGGATAGGCAGGGTTTTGAGCAATTGATGCTCATTTGTGCTACATTTAGAAGAGAAATGTTATCAGTCATTAATTTAATGAGAAGTTAAGTCACAAGCATCAAAATAAGAGGGCATGAACATCAGCTCCGGGCTGCCTTCGCCGCAGTTTCTTTGAGCAGCTTGTGACTTGAATTGAGAGGGGAGGTCTTTTTATGAACTGGTGATAACTTAATGACATTTCTTTACTTAACAACACATTTGCCGTAGCTTATAAAAGTATTGGTATACTAGGAATTATAGCTCCAACGTCAGAATCATACCTGGAGGTAAACACACTTCCAAATTTGTCATAAGCTGAATAATGAATAACGCATTGTTCAGCAAACAGTTGAAATGAAATACTGGTATCATTTATAGTGAGACATTCCAGATTTTGGTAATGTTTATAGCACTTGCAACTCTCTGCAGTGGTGATCTTTGCTTTAAGTAATCAAATTACAAAAGGTAGGCTTCCAGTTAAGGTCTTCGTTTATTTTAGGCACATTTTATTTTTCGGGGTGAGTTTTGCTGTATTTATTTGGTGTACTTTTAAAATAGGATTTTCAGTTGGTGTTTTAAATTGTTATTTAATAAATGTTAATATTTTAAAAGGCTCACAAAGCATGCATGATGAATTAGATAGGATAGCTTATGTACAGTTTAATTTTTATAAAGAAAGGGAACATATACAAAGAGAAGTGCAAGTTGTTGGGAGAGTGGTCTTCACTGTATTCAGCAATGGGAGCATCAGTTGGAATGTCATGTAATCCTGCTTTTCTTGATTTGTTTAATAATGCATGCCACCAGCAGAGGATGATACCCATCGACTGTTTGCATTGAAAAGAGCACTTTTTATCCCTATGGTTGACATCTAAAGTTATCCCACGAGTAACTGTTTATTCCTCTCTGTTTACATGAGGGGCCCGCAAACACATTGCCTCCAGTTCTTTTCAGAACATCACTTGCTCAAAAGGAGATACATCCATGGTGCTGCCGCAAACCCATGTAGTTTGCACTGGCACAAGTCAATATCCATATACCCAAAAATACTCACTACAAAATTCAGCTTTCCCTCCAAATTGAAAATGGCCAATTTCTTTGAAGGAACGCAGTTTGGCATGTAGGTGACTTCCATCTCCTGTCATGTGCTGTTAGCACTGGCCTCTTGGGAGTAACTTGTCTGCCAACTTTTCCGAACCATTCTGCTCATGTCCTATCAACAAATATTTTATATCCATTGAGTGTGTGGCAGTCTTTAAGAACCTTAAACAATAGTACACCGGAATATGTGCACTCCCTGGGATCAAAATTGAAATTTTGTGCACACAGGTGCATAACTTTTGACTTGATACAAACACCTGACCACTTTTTTTTTTTAAATTAATTGCCTGCATACGTGTATATATCACTGACAAAGCATTGCGCATGTTTAGTTGCATGTACCTGATGCAAAGTCACTGAAAAAAAGACAGTAGTGGTGAGCTACATACATATTTTTGCTGTCTGAATTCCAGACCAAAAGATACTGACTGTGTTTGTCCTGCATTCAGTGATCAAGATTGAATCGGTGGTGTAAACGAAAAGCAGCAATGATACAAGTGCTTCATTCCCTGACTTTCCAATTTGGCTAGGCATGGGGTAACCTCCCAATACAACTGCATTTTCAGTTAAGCACACTAGCAAATTCTGGTGTGCTGTTCACATATTTTCATCCACGTCTTCTTTGTGCATCATAGAATACACTTTTGTGAATTTTTTTTTATTTTTGTATGTGGTTGGTTTTGCTTTTTCTCTGTTAGTTTTCGTAGGGTATGGAATACCTTGCCTTTTGACAGAAGGAATTAAGATAACATCCTTTACCAAGACTTTCCCCAGCAACTGGTTTGTTAGGGATTCAGGTTGTTTCATGCACATGTATAGTCGGATAGTTTATTTGTAGATGAAATATTTACATGAACGAATCCAGGCTTTTTTGAATTGATTCCCTATAGGAAGAGTGTATTTTAGTTTTATACAATCATGACTTGATGTGAGTAAATTTAATGCAGAAATGTCTCTTGTGAGTTGGGTATTTTGTGAACATGTAGAAGATTTATAAATGGAATTGCATGTAACCTTGTAAAATGGGAGTTATGCATAATCTTATGGAATTTACATAGTTCTTCAAAGATTTTCTTGAACTTTCTCTAAAGATAATTATCAGTTACATCACACGTTGTTTCATGCCTGCACTGTAAACTTGATTATTATGTTTGTATGTTTTCAACCCAGTCTTTTTCTGCTAAATAGCACAAATTAGGTGGAAGTTAAAGTACCCTCTCCAACATTGTAATATTCTGTTGTTCAACTTAGCATGTGGGTCTTAGTTTGTAAATAATTAAGTTAAAACCAAAATTGATTTTCAATCTGTTATTGGAAAAGCTGAAGTAGCCAGTTCCTTGTTACTGTACCCGTACATTATGACAAGCAATAAACAACACAGACTGAGAAGTTGACTCAACATTACTGTGCAACACTGCCATCAAAAACGTTTTTACAGAATCTGAGATGGCTTTTTACACCTTAGGGCACAAGGCAAAGCCTTATAGCCTCATACCATCACCAATGCCTTCAAAAAAGGCTTTTGACAAATGAAGGAAAAAGATGCAAACCAACACATTTTTTATTGCCTTCTTTTAAAGTTAAAAGCTAGCCCCTCATCGGTCTTCTCATTACTCTATCCATGGAGAACGGCAAGTTTGTTTTCAAAGAAGTGAAAACCTGACATTTTACCGGCTGCAACTTCACCAATACTAGGTTATTGATAGGGGCCATGAGCACACAACCTCAGTAGCTCATGCAGTTCACTCAGAATTCGTGTAAATGGTTGCATACAGTAGGCCTTTGTGTATTTTACTTGAAATAAAGATGCAACAACAAATTTGAGCACACCGGCAGGCGTGGTGTCTGAACTGTGTAAGAGAAGCTATCTCCCTGTGGAATAATTTTTCCAAGCAAGCTGTTATTTATTTGAAGAAACCAATGAAAGGCGGCCAATTCTGTGTAATGACAAGTCTAAAGAACCATTGTTAGAAATTGCTGTAGCAAAACACATTAAGAGTTCAGTGACACACACAAGTCAAGTGATTGCTTCCCTTCATTGGTTCAGTGCGAAACGTGATTGTATACAGCTGAAGTAGAGCATGAATTCAAAACATGACTTCACAATTTAATTTAATCTAAGACATGTAGGATCTTAAATTTAAGATCCTTGTAGGATCTTAAATTTAAGATCCTACAAGTCTTGGATACCAGTACTGTTTTCCTTGGAAGATATAGCATTCAATGATCTTAAAATTGATGAGGTCGAGTTGTAAAGCACCCTTCTTTAGATTTTGTGCTGTTTTGTTGCCTTATACGAACACATTAATGCACAAATGGTAGGCTGTAACTTTAAATATAAAATTTCAAACAGCAGTTGATTCATCTTCCAATCACATTATTTGCATGAGAATCGTCATCATTGACGATGAGTTCAATGTTTTAGGCCCACTGAAAACATGACCTTTATGTCTTTTACTACGATCCAAACTCGGTGTGTAAAACCCTCCTATAAAGATGCAATCTGCACCAAGTTGTGCTATCAGTCAAATGGCATAAATGTCCTGTAAAGGGAAATGTGAAATGACAGGCAGAGACTGAGTACATTGAAGGAGGGTTTCGGTACACCTGTCAATATGTACCAATGCATATCAGGCATCCAAGTCAAACCTTGCCAAAAAATCTAAGCATGCTAAGTGAGCAGTACTAAATATTCACTTTTTAAATCACCGTCCGGGTTATTATAATCTAAATGTCCTCATTTTGTGCCCCGGAAACGCCTTCGGCGCTATACGATCCTTTCTACAAACTGTTGACCACCCACGTTCACAATGTGTAGACCTTAAAATATGAAGCACGCCACCTGTAGCTCAAATTAGAGACAGGCTACAGATCTTTGGTAATAGTCTGGTACCCAGTTGAAAAGCCTGAGAAAAGGAATGATTTCTCAATTGGATTTCAGACTTAGTTGCCACAAATTATTTGGCTCGCGCTCTGAAGACTGATTACGAAGTGAGTCGGCTGTGACTCGATTGAAGGTTTTTATCGTTCAAATGTCGGTAAGTCTCACAGTTCAGTTATTTCAGGTATTCTTTTTTTACTTTTCAACAAGAATCGGGACATAAGGGCCAAGGCATTTGATACTTCCCTCACAAAAGATTGTTGAAATAGTTTCAGCATGGCATTATTAATAATAGCAACCCCAACGGTGGTGAAAAGGCCCTACAGTTTAATTACAAAAAATTACCATGGACATGGAGCTATTATTAAATGAATATACTCACGTGATATCGAAGTAGTAAGTTATATATGAAAAGTGGCACTGTGACTTTTGAACAAATAGGCCTAATAGTAGTGTGATAAATATACATGATATATGTAGGAACAGAAATGGGATTTTT